GTGAGTGAGTGTGTGAGTGAGTGAATGCGTGAGTGAGAGAGTGAGTGAATGAGTGAGTGTGTGTGTTTGGGAAGGAGAGTGTGAGATAGTGTTTGGGTGTGTGTGTGTGTGTGTCTGTGAATGATAATGTGTGTTGTGTTGACTTAGTAGTTGGACAATTGGATTGAATTGTTGATGGAGAGAATGCATGGGAGACTGATTGGATTAATGTTTTGATGAATGTTTTGATGAGTGGTTGTGCGAGTGTTTGTACGAGTGTTTGTAGGAGTGATTGGACGAATGTTTGGATTGCTGAAAGTTCAATCTATTTGACAGATTGATCGATGGATTGATTGATAGGTTGATTTGTTGATTATTTGAATGATCGACTGATTGATTGAAGGACTGATGTGATGATTGATTGATGGATTAGTTGATTGATTGATAGATTGATTGATTGAATAATTATTGGTGTTGTATTTCGTCCATTGTAGCTGAGACCACTACTGGCACGAACGAAGTGACGACGGAGACCGAGATTACGGAGACCGACACTACGGGAACTGAGGTTATGTTGACGGAGAGTACAACAGGTGAGTGTGTTAGTTGATTGTGTGTATGCAATGTACGCAGTGTTGTTTGTGTGAGATGTGTTTGAGTTAGTTGTGCACAGAACTGATACTACTGGTGATTTGTTGGATTGCATGTAGTGCACTCGATTGGATGGATGTGAACTAATGTGTGTTTGTGTGTTTGTGTGTGTGTGAGTGCACGAGTGTGTGATTGTTTGATTGATTGATTGATTGATTGAGTGAGTGAGTGAGTGTGTGAGTGAGTGAATGCGTGAGTGAGAGAGTGAGTGAATGAGTGAGTGTGTGTGTTTGGGAAGGAGAGTGTGAGATAGTGTTTGGGTGTGTGTGTGTGTGTGTCTGTGAATGATAAAGTGTGTTGTGTTGACTTAGTAGTTGGACAATTGGATTGAATTGTTGATGGAGAGAATGCATGGGAGACTGATTGGATTAATGTTTTGATGAATGTTTTGATGAGTGGTTGTGCGAGTGTTTGTACGAGTGTTTGTAGGAGTGATTGGACGAATGTTTGGATTGTTGAAGGTTTAATCTATTTGACAGATTGATCGATGGATTGATTGATAGGTTGATTTGTTGATTATTTGAATGATCGACTGATTGATTGAAGGACTGATGTGATGATTGATTGATGGATTAGTTGATTGATTGATAGATTGATTGATTGATTAATTATTGGTGTTGTATTTCGTCCATTGTAGCTGAGACCACTACTGGCACGAACGAAGTGACGACGGAGACCGAGATTACGGAGACCGACACTACGGGAACTGAGGTTATGTTGACGGAGAGTACAACAGGTGAGTGTGTTAGTTGATTGTGTGTATGCAATGTACGCAGTGTTGTTTGTGTGAGATGTGTTTGAGTTAGTTGTGCACAGAACTGATACTACTGGTGATTTGTTGGATTGCATGTAGTGCACTCGATTGGATGGATGTGAACTAATGTGTGTTTGTGTGTTTGTGTGTGTGTGAGTGCACGAGTGTGTGATTGTTTGATTGATTGATTGATTGATTGAGTGAGTGAGTGAGTGTGTGAGTGAGTGAATGCGTGAGTGAGAGAGTGAGTGAATGAGTGAGTGTGTGTGTTTGGGAAGGAGAGTGTGAGATAGTGTTTGGGTGTGTGTGTGTGTTGTCTGTGAATGATAATGTGTGTTGTGTTGACTTAGTAGTTGGACAAGTGGATTGAATTGTTGATGGAGAGAATGCATGGGAGACTGATTGGATTAATGTTTTGATGAATGTTTTGATGAGTGGTTGTGCGAGTGTTTGTACGAGTGTTTGTAGGAGTGATTGGACGAATGTTTGGATTGCTGAAAGTTCAATCTATTTGACAGATTGATCGATGGATTGATTGATAGGTTGATTTGTTGATTATTTGAATGATCGACTGATTGATTGAAGGACTGATGTGATGATTGATTGATGGATTAGTTGATTGATTGATAGATTGATTGATTGATTGATTAATTATTGGTGTTGTATTTCGTCCATTGTAGCTGAGACCACTACTGGCACGAACGAAGTGACGACGGAGACCGAGATTACGGAGACCGACACTACGGGAACTGAGGTTATGTTGACGGAGAGTACAACAGGTGAGTGTGTTAGTTGATTGTGTGTATGCAATGTACGCAGTGTTGTTTGTGTGAGATGTGTTTGAGTTAGTTGTGCACAGAACTGATACTACTGGTGATTTGTTGGATTGCATGTAGTGCACTCGATTGGATGGATGTGAACTAATGTGTGTTTGTGTTTGTGTGTGTGTGAGTGCACGAGTGTGTGATTGTTTGATTGATTGATTGATTGATTGAGTGAGTGAGTGAGTGTGTGAGTGAGTGAATGCGTGAGTGAGAGAGTGAGTGAATGAGTGAGTGTGTGTGTTTGGGAAGGAGAGTGTGAGATAGTGTTTGGGTGTGTGTGTGTGTGTGTCTGTGAATGATAATGTGTGTTGTGTTGACTTAGTAGTTGGACAAGTGGATTGAATTGTTGATGGAGAGAATGCATGGGAGACTGATTGGATTAATGTTTTGATGAATGTTTTGATGAGTGGTTGTGCGAGTGTTTGTACGAGTGTTTGTAGGAGTGATTGGACGAATGTTTGGATTGCTGAAAGTTTAATCTATTTGACAGATTGATCGATGGATTGATTGATAGGTTGATTTGTTGATTATTTGAATGATCGACTGATTGATTGAAGGACTGATGTGATGATTGATTGATGGATTAGTTGATTGATTGATTGATTGATTGATTGATTAATTATTGGTGTTGTATTTCGTCCATTGTAGCTGAGACCACTACTGGCACGAACGAAGTGACGACGGAGACCGAGATTACGGAGACCGACACTACGGGAACTGAGGTTATGTTGACGGAGAGTACAACAGGTGAGTGTGTTAGTTGATTGTGTGTATGCAATGTACGCAGTGTTGTTTGTGTGAGATGTGTTTGAGTTAGTTGTGCACAGAACTGATACTACTGGTGATTTGTTGGATTGCATGTAGTGCACTCGATTGGATGGATGTGAACTAATGTGTGTTTGTGTGTTGTGTGTGTGTGAGTGCACGAGTGTGTGATTGTTTGATTGATTGATTGATTGATTGATTGAGTGAGTGAGTGTGTGAGTGAGTGAATGCGTGAGTGAGAGAGTGAGTGAATGAGTGAGTGTGTGTGTTTGGGAAGGAGAGTGTGAGATAGTGTTTGGGTGTGTGTGTGTGTTTGTCTGTGAATGATAATGTGTGTTGTGTTGACTTAGTAGTTGGACAAGTGGATTGAATTGTTGATGGAGAGAATGCATGGGAGACTGATTGGATTAATGTTTTGATGAATGTTTTGATGAGTGGTTGTGCGAGTGTTTGTACGAGTGTTTGTAGGAGTGATTGGACGAATGTTTGGATTGTTGAAGGTTTAATCTATTTGACAGATTGATCGATGGATTGATTGATAGGTTGATTTGTTGATTATTTGAATGATCGACTGATTGATTGAAGGACTGATGTGATGATTGATTGATGGATTAGTTGATTGATTGATAGATTGATTGATTGATTAATTATTGGTGTTGTATTTCGTCCATTGTAGCTGAGACCACTACTGGCACGAACGAAGTGACGACGGAGACCGAGATTACGGAGACCGACACTACGGGAACTGAGGTTATGTTGACGGAGAGTACAACAGGTGAGTGTGTTAGTTGATTGTGTGTATGCAATGTACGCAGTGTTGTTTGTGTGAGATGTGTTTGAGTTAGTTGTGCACAGAACTGATACTACTGGTGATTTGTTGGATTGCATGTAGTGCACTCGATTGGATGGATGTGAACTAATGTGTGTTTGTGTGTTTGTGTGTGTGTGAGTGCACGAGTGTGTGATTGTTTGATTGATTGATTGATTGATTGAGTGAGTGAGTGAGTGTGTGAGTGAGTGAATGCGTGAGTGAGAGAGTGAGTGAATGAGTGAGTGTGTGTGTTTGGGAAGGAGAGTGTGAGATAGTGTTTGGGTGTGTGAGTGTGTTTGTCTGTGAATGATAATGTGTGTTGTGTTGACTTAGTAGTTGGACAAGTGGATTGAATTGTTGATGGAGAGAATGCATGGGAGACTGATTGGATTAATGTTTTGATGAATGTTTTGATGAGTGGTTGTGCGAGTGTTTGTACGAGTGTTTGTAGGAGTGATTGGACGAATGTTTGGATTGTTGAAGGTTTAATCTATTTGACAGATTGATCGATGGATTGATTGATAGGTTGATTTGTTGATTATTTGAATGATCGACTGATTGATTGAAGGACTGATGTGATGATTGATTGATGGATTAGTTGATTGATTGATAGATTGATTGATTGATTAATTATTGGTGTTGTATTTCGTCCATTGTAGCTGAGACCACTACTGGCACGAACGAAGTGACGACGGAGACCGAGATTACGGAGACCGACACTACGGGAACTGAGGTTATGTTGACGGAGAGTACAACAGGTGAGTGTGTTAGTTGATTGTGTGTATGCAATGTACGCAGTGTTGTTTGTGTGAGATGTGTTTGAGTTAGTTGTGCACAGAACTGATACTACTGGTGATTTGTTGGATTGCATGTAGTGCACTCGATTGGATGGATGTGAACTAATGTGTGTTTGTGTGTTGTGTGTGTGTGAGTGCACGAGTGTGTGATTGTTTGATTGATTGATTGATTGATTGAGTGAGTGAGTGAGTGTGTGAGTGAGTGAGTGCGTGAGTGAGAGAGTGAGTGAATGAGTGAGTGTGTGTGTTTGGGAAGGAGAGTGTGAGATAGTGTTTGGGTGTGTGTGTGTGTTTGTCTGTGAATGATAATGTGTGTTGTGTTGACTTAGTAGTTGGACAAGTGGATTGAATTGTTGATGGAGAGAATTCATGGGAGACTGATTGGATTAATGTTTTGATGAATGTTTTGATGAGTGGTTGTGCGAGTGTTTGTACGAGTGTTTGTAGGAGTGATTGGACGAATGTTTGGATTGTTGAAGGTTTAATCTATTTGACAGATTGATCGATGGATTGATTGATAGGTTGATTTGTTGATTATTTGAATGATCGACTGATTGATTGAAGGACTGATGTGATGATTGATTGATGGATTAGTTGATTGATTGATAGATTGATTGATTGATTAATTATTGGTGTTGTATTTCGTCCATTGTAGCTGAGACCACTACTGGCACGAACGAAGTGACGACGGAGACCGAGATTACGGAGACCGACACTACGGGAACTGAGGTTATGTTGACGGAGAGTACAACAGGTGAGTGTGTTAGTTGATTGTGTGTATGCAATGTACGCAGTGTTGTTTGTGTGAGATGTGTTTGAGTTAGTTGTGCACAGAACTGATACTACTGGTGATTTGTTGGATTGCATGTAGTGCACTCGATTGGATGGATGTGAACTAATGTGTGTTTGTGTGTTTGTGTGTGTGTGAGTGCACGAGTGTGTGATTGTTTGATTGATTGATTGATTGATTGAGTGAGTGAGTGAGTGTGTGAGTGAGTGAGTGCGTGAGTGAGAGAGTGAGTGAATGAGTGAGTGTGTGTGTTTGGGAAGGAGAGTGTGAGATAGTGTTTGGGTGTGTGTGTGTGTGTTTGTATGTGAATGATAATGTGTGTTGTGTTGACTTAGTATTTGGACAAGTGGATTGAATTGTTGATGGAGAGAATGCATGGGAGACTGATTGGATTAATGTTTTGATGAATGTTTTGATGAGTGGTTGTGCGAGTGTTTGTACGAGTGTTTGTAGGAGTGATTGGACGAATGTTTGGATTGTTGAAGGTTTAATCTATTTGACAGATTGATCGATGGATTGATTGATAGGTTGATTTGTTGATTATTTGAATGATCGACTGATTGATTGAAGGACTGATGTGATGATTGATTGATGGATTAGTTGATTGATTGATTGATGATTGATTGATTGAATAATTATTGGTGTTGTATTTCGTCCATTGTAGCTGAGACCACTACTGGCACGAACGAAGTGACGACGGAGACCGTGATTACAGAGACCGACACTACGGGAACTGAGGTTATGTTGACGGAGAGTACAACAGGTGAGTGTGTTAGTTGATTGTGTGTATGCAATGTACGCAGTGTTGTTTGTGTGAGATGTGTTTGAGTTAGTTGTGCACAGAACTGATACTACTGGTGATTTGTTTGATTGCTTGTTTTGCACTGGAATCCCTCCGGTGGCTACTGCATGTCCCACGCCCGCATATAGGAGCAGGGTTTGGCATGAGGTTAGCGTCGCCATCCTGTAGATAACTATCTCGCTATAAAATCGCTAACCGAAAAAATTTATTCAAATCTTTTAAACTCTGCCCTGGGTGTCAGATTGTCTTCATTTTGAAGAATTATGATGGCTCATGATGAAAGCCGAATTCCTTCGGAAGTTACGAGGCCGATGCCCCTTCTGACAACCAGAGCGACCATTTATTTAGGTACATGGAATGTTCGTACAATGTGGGACACCGGAAGAGCCTTCCAAATTGCTGCAGAAATGAGAAGATACAACCTAGAGGTACTTGGGATCAGTGAAACACATTGGACACAAGTTGGACAACAACGACTAACTACAGGAGAGCTCCTGTTATACTCCGGCCATGAAGAAGAAAATGCACCACATACACAAGGAGTTGCATTGATGCTGTCCAAACAAGCGCAAAATGCACTTATAGGATGGGAATCTCATGGACCAAGGATCATCAAAGCCTCGTTCAAAACAAAGAAAGAGGGCATTTCAATGAACATCATCCAATGCTATGCGCCTACCAACGACTACAATGAAGACGCTAAAGATCAATTCTACAATAGGCTGCAGTCAATCGTCGAGAAGTGCCCAACAAAGGACCTGACCATTCTGATGGGAGATTTCAACGCCAAGGTTGGAACGGACAACACTGGATATGAAGACATCATGGGACGACACGGACTGGGAGAAAGAAACGAAAATGGTGAGAGATTTGCAAATCTATGTGCCTTCAATAAGCTGGTCATAGGCGGCACCATATTCCCACATAAACGCATACACAAAACCACATGGACTTCACCGGATCACTCTACACAAAACCAAATCGACCATATTTGCATCAACAAAACGTTCAGGAGGACTATAGAGGACGTGAGAACCAAGAGAGGAGCTGATATAGCATCAGATCATCACTTGCTGGTCGCCAAGATGAAATTGAAACTCAAGAAGCACTGGACAACGGGGCGGACAATATCACAAAAGTTCAATACGGCCTTTCTTCAGGATACTAACAAACTCAACAAATTCAAGATAGTCCTCAGCAACAAGTTCCAGGCCTTTCATGATCTACTCAATGGAGAAGGAACTACTGTGGAGAGCAACTGGAAGGGGATCAAAGAGGCAATCACTTCAACATGTCATGAGGTCCTGGGTCACAAGAAGCACCACCACAAGGAATGGATCACTGTTGATACACTGGATAAGATTCAAGAAAGAAGGAACAAGAAGGCAGCAATCAATACCAGCCGAACAAGAGCAGAAAAAGCCAAGGCACAAGCTGAATACACGGAAATAAACAAACAAGTGAAGAGGAGCATCAGAACCGACAAACGTAAATATGTGGAAGATTTAGCAACGACGGCGGAAAAGGCTGCAAGAGAAGGAAACATGAGACAATTGTATGACACGACAAAGAAACTCTCTGGAAATCGCCGCAAACCAGAACGACCAGTGAAAAGCAAGGAAGGCGAGGTAATCACCAACATTGAAGAGCAACAAAACAGGTGGGTAGAACACTTCAAAGAACTCTTGAATCGACCAGCTCCACTGAACCCACCCAACATCGAAGCAGCACCCACGGACCTCCCAATCAATGTTGGCCCACCAACAATTGAAGAAATCAGCATGGCCATCAGACAAATCAAGAGTGGCAAAGCAGCAGGACCGGACAACATTCCAGCAGAGGCACTAAAAGCAGACGTAGCGGCAACTGCAAGGATACTCCACATTCTCTTCAATAAGATTTGGGATGAGGAACAAGTACCAACAGACTGGAAAGAAGGACTTCTGATCAAAATACCGAAGAAAGGCGATCTCAGCAAGTGTGATAACTACAGGGGCATCACTCTTCTCTCAATACCGGGAAAAGTCTTCAACAGGGTATTGTTAAACAGGATGAAGGACTGCGTAGACGCCCAACTTCGTGACCAACAGGCAGGATTCCGTAAGGATAGATCGTGTACAGACCAAATCGCAACTCTACGGATCATTGTGGAACAATCAATTGAATGGAATTCATCACTCTACATCAACTTCATTGACTACGAAAAGGCATTTGATAGCGTGGACAGAACAACACTATGGAAACTTCTTCGACACTACGGCGTGCCTCAGAAGATAGTCAATATCATACAGAACTCATATGATGGATTACACTGCAAAATCGTGCATGGAGGACAGTTGACAAAGTCGTTCGAAGTGAAGACCGGTGTTAGGCAAGGTTGCTTACTCTCACCCTTTCTCTTTCTCCTGGTGATCGACTGGATCATGAAGACGTCAACGTCTGAAGGGAAGCGCGGGATACAATGGACATCTAAGATGCAGTTGGATGATCTAGACTTCGCAGACGATCTGGCCCTTCTATCCCAAACGCAACAACAGATGCAGGAGAAGACGAACAGTGTGGCAGCAGCCTCAGCAGCAGTAGGTCTCAATATACACAAAGGGAAAAGCAGGATTCTCCGATACAACACAGCATGCACCAATCCAATCACAATTGACGGAGAAGATTTGGAAGATGTAAAAACCTTTACGTATTTGGGCAGCATCATTGATGAACAGGGTGGATCTGATGCAGATGTGAAGGCGCGGATCGGCAAAGCAAGAGCAGCATATTTACAACTGAGGAACATCTGGAACTCAAAGCAACTGTCAACCAACACCAAGGTCAGGATTTTCAATACAAATGTCAAGACAGTTCTACTGTATGGGGCAGAAACCTGGAGAACTACGAAAGCCATCATCCAGAAAATACAGGTGTTTATTAACAGTTGTCTACGCAAAATACTTCAGATCCATTGGCCGGACACTATTAGCAACAACGTACTGTGGGAGAGAACAAACCAGATCCCAGCGGAGGAAGAAATCAGGAAGAAGCGCTGGAAGTGGATAGGACACACATTGAGGAAAGCACCCAACTGCGTCACAAGACAAGCCCTCACATGGAATCCTGAAGGTCAAAGGAAAAGAGGAAGACCAAAGAACACATTACGCCGAGAAATGGAGATAGACATGAGAAAAATGAACAAGAATTGGATGGAACTAGAAAAGAAGGCCCAGGACAGAGTGAGATCGAGAATGCTGGTCAGCGGCCTCTGCTTCGTTGGGAGTAACAGGAGCAAGTAATGTAGTGCACTAGATTGGATGGATATGAACTAATATGAGTTTCTGTGTTTGTGTGTGAGTGCACGAGTGTGTGATTGTTTGATTGATTGATTGATTGAGTGAGTGAGTGAGTGCGTGAGTGAGAGAGTGAGTGAATGAGTGAGTGTGTGTGTTTGGGAAGGAGAGTGTGAGATAGTGTTTGTGTGTGTGTGTGTGTTTGTCTGTGAATGATAATCTGTGTTGTGTTGACTTAGTAGTTGGACAAGTGGATTGAATTGTTGATGGAGAGAATTCATGGGAGACTGATTGGATTAATGTTTTGATGAATGTTTTGATGAGTGGTTGTGCGAGTGTTTGTACGAGTGTTTGTAGGAGTGATTGGACGAATGTTTGGATTGTTGAAGGTTTAATCTATTTGACAGATTGATCGATGGATTGATTGATAGGTTGATTTGTTGATTATTTGAATGATCGACTGATTGATTGAAGGACTGATGTGATGATTGATTGATGGATTAGTTGATTGATGATAGATTGATTGATTGATTAATTATTGGTGTTGTATTTCGTCCATTGTAGCTGAGACCACTACTGGCACGAACGAAGTGACGACGGAGACCGAGATTACGGAGACCGACACTACGGGAACTGAGGTTATGTTGACGGAGAGTACAACAGGTGAGTGTGTTAGTTGATTGTGTGTATGCAATGTACGCAGTGTTGTTTGTGTGAGATGTGTTTGAGTTAGTTGTGCACAGAACTGATACTACTGGTGATTTGTTGGATTGCATGTAGTGCACTCGATTGGATGGATGTGAACTAATGTGTGTTTGTGTGTTTGTGTGTGTGTGAGTGCACGAGTGTGTGATTGTTTGATTGATTGCTTGATTGACTGATTGGTTGATTGTTTGAGTGAGTGAGTGAGTGAGTGAGTGAGTGCGTGAGTGAGTGAGTGAGTGCGTGATTGAGAGAGTGAGTGAATGAGTGAGTGTGTGTGTTTGGGAAGGAGAGTGTGAGATAGTGTTTGGGTGTGTGTGTGTGTGTGTCTGTGAATGATAATGTGTGTTGTGTTGACTTAGTATTTGGACAAGTGGATTGAATTGTTGATGGAGAGAATGCATGGGAGACTGATTGGATTAATGTTTTGATGAATGTTTTGATGAGTGGTTGTGCGAGTGTTTGTACGAGTGTTCGTATGAGTGGTTGCACGAATATTTAAAATGTAGGAGGTTTTACATATTTGACCGATTGATCAATGGATTGATTGGTTGGTTGATTTGTTGGAGTTTATTCATGAGAACTATACCTCCTCCTTTATCTGATTTGGTTATGGTCAGGGTTTCATCTTTTCTTGTTTCATTAAAGAGTCTCGGTGCTACTTGGTTAGTAGGTGATTTGTGTACCCTTACTATTCTTGTACTGTTGGCAGCTATCAACTAGTGTGGTTTTATACCGAGCAAGGTCCTCCAATGAGGTAGGAATCAAGTCAGTTGTTTGTGAAAATAAATTCTCAAATTGTACATCAGTATCTAATTGGTTGATTCTATGTCTACTATCACAGAATTTAGGTCCCAGAGATAAAGCTTCTAGCTGTATTACATCTAGTTCAATATTGGAAACATTATGTACGTACCGTTCGTGTCGAAAGAAAACTCCTTTTCTGGCTTTTGGTTTTCCAAAGTTTTCATTAATTTCGTCAACGTTTTCTCAGATCTGTTCCTGGATATTTTTCCCACATAATCCATAAACATTGACTGAAGCTCTGAAGGAAGGTTTTTAACGGAATATTGTCTCTGAAGAAGATTCCTTTCGAAGTCGCAGATATTCATTTTTAAAGTATCAATTTGATTCGACGCATGTCTTTTAAGTGTTTTTGCATTAGGATAGATTCGGTTACGACGTCAAGACTTCCAATATATTTTAGAATATCTATTAGATTGTATACAATTAATAGCAAATTCTAAGCTCGTTTTCGCTTCTGTGAGACGTGCATTAAACTTCAGAAACTCATTGAGTGTCTTAAATGCAACAGGGTCCCCACGCGACTTTAGAATATTAAAGATTCCCATTGTGAAAATTAGAACAACACATATAAGCGAACAATTGTTTTCAATTAGATCGTCATCAGGCTTTACTCTAATATACATGAATATTTATACAAAAATTTTAAACCAATCAAGGCAATATGGGTCAATAATCGCTATGAAATAGAATAAGTCACTACACATCATAGGTAAAAGTATAAGTTGATAGTAGTAGGAAGACAGGTGAACTGATAATAGTGAGAATAATAAAATACAATAACAAAACTCTTATCAGTAGTTAATCGTTGGAAATAGAAGGTCAAACAATATGGGTAAATAAACTAGGAATAGTAATCACAAAACATTGGTCAGATGTCTCACGAGCAGAGCAAAAAAGATCTGTACAGTAGACACTCTAAGTCAGGAGCTTGAATTTATCAACAACTCACTGACCGAGATCGGCTACCCCAGCGCGTTCATTAAGAAGTACATGCAGGATATGATAAAGAAGTCGGAGATTTCGACTGTTCGTAAGAAACCTTTATACATGAAAGTGCAATTCAACGGGGATATGGCTAGTGACACTCTGAAATATAGGTTAACCAAAGTAATCACCAGGACATTCTACGCAGCCAATCTTGCGTTGACCTTCTCTTGTCGACCAGCGATGTATACTCAAACGAAGGATAAGTTACCTGAGTTGGCCTCTTCCATGTGCATTTACAAATTCAGCTGCTCCTGTGGAGATAGCTATATAGGGCGTACTACCAGGGAACTTAACCAACGGAGATTACAACAGGTGAGTGTGTTAGTTGATTGTGTGTATGCAATGTACGCAGTGTTGTTTGTGTGAGATGTGTTTGAGTTAGTTGTGCACAGGACTGGTGAATTGCGTGTTGTCTACTCGAGTATATCTCGTTCTCTTTTTGAATATTTTTCTGTACTTCCGCCGGCTATTTTATTATTTCCTGATGGTTTTTTAATGGTTGTATTCTGTGCCTCCATTGCCTCGCTTGTATGTTTTCTTACGTTCTGTCAGTGTTTTGTTTGTCGTGCTTGTTTTTCTTTTTCGGATATGCATTACGATCCTTAGTTTAGATCATTTTGTTTATTCTTTTCGAACCCATTTGTCCAGTTCACTTGTTTGCCTATTAACCTGATTGTTTTTATTTGTTACTATGTTTGTTATTCATTGATCCTATTCTTCATCGATCTGTATTCTATTTTCGTTGGACTTTAAATATCGATTGATGCTTGGTTCAAACGAGTTGTCTCATTCACTTTGTCCGCTGCGCATCATTTCGTTTCGTCTCGCTCTCTCCTCTTCACTTTCTTCGCTTCGTTTCTCTGAACATCTGTCTGGATCAACGATTGTACGAAACATACATACTTAAAACTCGTTCTCGTATTTGACTTATTAAACTCGGTTATTCACTAACCCGAGTTAATTCGATGATAATATACGAGAGTTGGCGGTATGTATATTTCGATGACAATCATCACACGATATAATTGGAGTCAGATATCAGGCCACCAAAAGTGGTGAGCTCATCGATAACAACATCGTCCGATCTAGTTGTCGTCAAAATGAAGGGCCACTCAACGTGACGAGCACGACGACGAACCTAACGCAGCCAAACTACGTCGATGATGAACCCTCTACACTCCATACTTTCAATGCACGAACTCAACGTAGCTTGCTCAATCGATAAACAACACAGTTTTCGACCATATGAGCAAATCGGAGAGAGATCACAGCATCACTAAAGTGGTAGGCCCGACTTCGAACCTAACGCAACCTGACAAACTAGTCGGACGATGATCGTCTCGAACTCTACGCATCCGTTAATCAAACTAAGTAACTGAATTGGTCGAAGAGACACTCAAACTACTCAATCTCTAATCCGACACATTCGGCGAAGCCGGTACGTTGGAGACATGGATATGATCAAGTCGTATGACATTATTGATACTTTGTCCTCGTGTCACCTCTGCTCACTGAACTGTTTAGCGCATCATTCCATTATGATTATAATAATTATCATATTATCATTATCACATTAATGTCACACCACCACCTAACGTGGAATTATTATTGCTGTTCGTGCTGATATTAGATCATGACATTTAAGCAATCATATCACACTCCCCATCAAAGTGTAATTTTATGAACATTTCATTTACGTTATGACAGTCGAAACTCGTTGCATAATTCTTTTATTTTTCAATAACGTAAAATTTTGCTGCTTTATGTGAGTTTGTTCCATTTTCTCCGCGTCATTTTTGCCCTGTTATTACACTCATTCTTTGATTTTTTCAAGGACGACACTCTCATGATATTATTTTCTGTTTTTCCATTAATACGTCTTACGCACACTTCATCTAAGTTTTCGAACTGCTGTTGTCTATTAACTGTCTGAAATCAATTCGACATCAGTGTTACATATTTACGATTTTCTTGCTGCAAGTTTAGCTACATTGTTGTCTAAGTCGGGAACGTTAATGTAGTTTGCTACCGTTGTTCTCGTCATCACTATTATTGCTTGATTGTTATTTATGTTGGAATTCAAATTCTTCAATATATCAGATTGTACCAATATCATATCGCAAATTATGCCACGACACATTTGCTGCAAGGTTTTGGTTGATGATGATTGACTGACAAGGCGATCTAATCTAGTTTATTACACCGTCATATAATAATGAAGAGACACATTAATGTGATGACAAACTGGCTGGTGAAATATGTTTAATTTAGGTCGTATACAGAAATATGTTGAATGCAAAGGCGAATCTACAGAAGCGATTAGAAAATTGGAAATCATTAGAAACAGACCTGATGTGAGCAGTAGATTATGTGAAGTGACCTGATTGAGGCATTCAGTGATTTGACCTTCTACTCACTCCAAATTGTTTACTCCTGAATTCACGTTTTCATCATTTGTGTGCTTATCTAAATTCAAGTTCCTTTCTCCAATGATTTGTGTTTGTGTTTCTGCTTGTCTATCTGCATTGCATGTAACCAAACTCCATGTGTTCTTTTAATGAAAATTTTCTTCGTTATCTACTTAAATGTTTTATAGAAGGCAACCTCACGAAAACAGTAGTAATCGGTAAGTCAAAATATGATATAGCAGTTTGTTTTGTCACACCAATTTATTTTCCTTATTGATTGTTTTGATTCTGTTTTCCATTTCATTCATCAATACGTGGTCACATTGCATTACATAAACGGTTGGGTGAATTGTTCCTCTTGGAAATTCAGTGTAGCGAAGAGATGTCACATATAGTACGCTCATATATTGAAATTATTTGTCAATCAGTATTTATTGTCGAGTTTCTCAGGGTCGTCTGGTCGCGTTGGCTACTATCTATGTTAAACCGGAATGATTCATAATCTTTCCAAGTGGAACAATTTAATTGTATTCGTATAAAAGCTAACAAGTACTGAAATTTACTGTAACTGTGGAAGTCACGTTATGTTTGTTTGCTGAGCGTCACTTCACTCACAATATTGTTACACTTATTAACCAATGTGTGTGGGTAGACATTACTACTTGGTGTAGAATTCTTTATTTTCATAACAAACCAAGAGCATATAGCATTCAGTGTGCATGGATGTGGGAAATCAAACAACCATTTACTTCATAGTGTCCATCACTTTGATAGATCATAATCGAATACACTTGGATTTGTGGTGTGGAGTTGAAGAGAGGTCGTTCAGTTTTGTTTTGTTGTGCAACAGTAAGTCAACTCAATATTCTCCTTTCACTGAGAAGTCGGATTTAAATCAACGAACTTTGACTTGTTGGAAACTATTTAATTTCTTTTGTAGCAGTCTCATCAATGCTGACTAGATTGAACAAGTCTTTGGAGTGGAATGACAGTTTATTGGATCCTAGTTCCGATTTATATCGAAATTATTCAGCTGAAATTTGTAATTTGGTAAGTTTGTTACCGAGTTCTCAATTGGATTTACATAAAAATGAGGAAAACTGATGAAATGTATAGACAACCTGTGTCTTTTGATAAAGGTTGAAGTTTGACATTTGAAGACGGTTTTTGGAAATATATGTAGCTATTTAATAGCTATTTATAGAAGACAGAGTATTATTTAACTGTTTTCTCCAACTGTGACGAATAGTACCTGTAGAAATTCAAGATGTTGTTTGGGTAGATTCCATGATCATTGTTTTATGCAATTATGGATTTAACTCGTCGTGGTTAATAGTGTCCGTTCTTCACCATTTACCATGTAGATCATATCTCGTTTTACTCTACACAAACTGATGCAGTCTCAAAACACTCTATGGTCTCCAATCACTATATTGTTGCAATCAAATAAAGGCGAATGTGCTTGTTTCGTTTGATTATGCATAGCATAATTACCAGAAGTGGTCAACATGCACGGGCACGATCCTGTGATGGATCAGTCGTTTTGATATTATAAGTAGTGACAACTGAGGTTACCCAGTCGATAAATATATTTACTAATCCACGAGTTTGGAAAACCAATTTGTTCTCCTTCCACGTGAATGTAAAACTTCGGTGCTATAAAACTCCACCAAACTACTTGTTCGACATTCATACAACAATGATTTATGCCGATGAGCTAATTTCATCTAACCTAACATGAATGGCACCATGGGGTAGCCTCACTGAGCTAAGTGGCAGTACAGCACCGTCTGCCTGGTGTTATACATTGTGATGTCGCATTAACTATCAACTGCGACTAACTCATTTATTCATTCATTACTGACTATTCCATTGAAAAGCCACCGCTCACATTTCTGTGGCTTGAGATGCTGATTGATATCATGTGCTAAGGTTACCAATCGGAATTCTAACTCTAATTTCTTTTCCATTCCGTGTTTACTATTTCCTCCATGACCCAGTGTCCAAGCAATGACCATACCACAGGCATGACCCTCACCGTCCACCTTGTGGCGATGCAAGCCAAGCTCCTATTCTTCCACTACTCGTAAGTCCTTCTTTGCCTTCAAACTTGAGTCAAAGAGAGAAGTCAACAGACGGCCTCTACCATTCTTATACTTCAGGCATACGTGGACTCATATACAGTCGTGCTGGACCACATCGCACCACTGAGCGAAAAATCACAAGCATACATAGGCAAGCCGAAAGTGTTTGTGAATAATGCAAACCGTAAGTAGTAGACTGGCAAAAATCTGGGAGTGGAGAGTTGTCTATCAGTGGTTAACGGGTTAACCAAAAGCTTGTGGTTAACGTATTATATAGACACAGTAATCCAGTTGCTTAGTAATTATATAAGAAAAACATAGTTGATAGCAATAACAATATTCATGATAACAATTCGAAAACCATTTTCAAAATTTCCAACTTTTACAATATTCATCCCGTTATAACACGCACGATTTTCTTCTCACAAAATCTTCAAGCTTTTGGACAGCATATATTCAACTTATATTGAGGGAATAATCAATGTTAATTGCACAGTTGTTGGCTTCTCGCGTGGATCAGTTGTTGGAAATGCAGTATTAGTCATCGACCATAGTAGCACAAGTGGGAATTTCTCATCGACTGAAGTGACAAAAGACACTGTTCGCAATGCTGTTGTGGCATACATAGCAGAAATGGTTGCCAATGGGTCGGAGCAAGTGTACTTCGATACATCAAGTGGCTTGACAGTAGAAAGTGAGTGCATGTGATATTTTCGAGCTATATTGAAATTGAATTTTGTGTTTAACGTCGGTTGAATAGACCAGTTTATCCTGCGAGTTGAGCGCCACGTTCTCAATGCATCTTGGAAGTTGATGATAGGGGAATCCGACACCGGAAGCGAACGTTGTAGGATTCGACTGATTATTTCTCACGTTAAATATCACCTGCATAACAATTAGCATGCATGTATGATGTGATCATCTATTAGATGCTCTTAATTTTAGTTCATGGAACTGTTTGGTCCTATTTCAAATTTGTTGTTCTAGAGAGACAATAGAAATCTGTCTTATCCTCAGTCACTTGTATAGGACCTTTCCATATATGCTGTTTGATATAGAATTCCGTTTACATTTTAAAGAGTCTTACAGTTGGTGAGATCACAACACACGACGAAATGGAATGTTCAGTGTTCGATCAACGAGGAAATGGAATTGTTCACAAGTTTGAAAAACAACTCCATCACCTGCAAACCATCTGCTGCGAAAGTGTCTCGACTTCATTTACTGTCAAATACCTAGTCGCCTGCTATGGCTAGCAGCTAATCATAATCAGGATTAATTGTCATGTATACTCAGCTTTTTGTGACGTGAATAGATACACGTTTCTCATTGTATTTTCAGCTGTAATCCATGTGGCAACCACTGAGGTGATCACTGAATCTCAGAATATCGAAGATAACAAGACTACGGGTAAGTAAGTGGTTTTCAATTTTTTCACTGAGTCGATAATATACGCGAGAACTTATGTCTTAAGATTGCAAATTGTAGGAGTAAAATACTCTGAATATTCACTTTTGTGAGTTGATTCTTCGACCAGTAATTTTGACTGAAGTATTATTGAGATAATCTTCCTCAGATAAAAGAATATGGAGTGACAGTAAATTAGTTAGAAAAATCCAAAATATTATATATCAGTATTCGCGACAACGCAGAAATGTTTGAAGTATGTGTAAGGTCCCCATATGACATAAAATTAAAGATGTCACGAGTAATCAGGGTGTCGGAATGTAAGGCAGTACATTTAAAAAAGTAGATAAGAACGATTGATAGATCGAATAGTTATATTAAGAATGAATTAAGATGATGTGTATGTATGAAAATACATAGTGAAAGCAGCGAGTTATGCTTCACTTGGAAATTCATCCATAATCAAGTTCGCGTTCCTCATTATCTGCTTTTATGTCGAAAGTACAAGGAGATTGCTTCAAATGTAAAATCAGAAATAGTGAGGATCAACAACCAAAGAATAGAAACAAATAATAAATAGTAGAACAATCAATGAATTGACGAAACATCAATTGAGAATGAAAATGTGACCGTGGGATTTACATGTAAGGAAGAAACTGTAGATAGAAACATCGAGAGAAAATGAAGTTCGATAAATCGCTGAACTATTTTGAAAATTCTAAGCTCGTTTTCGCTTCTGTGAGACGTGCATTAAACTTCAGAAACTCATTGAGTGTCTTAAATGCAACAGGGTCCCCACGCGACTTTAGAATATTAAAGATTCCCATTGTGAAAATTAGAACAACACATATAAGCGAACAATTGTTTTCAATTAGATCGTCATCAGGCTTTACTCTAATATACATGAATATTTATACAAAAATTTTAAACCAATCAAGGCAATATGGGTCAATAATCGCTATGAAATAGAATAAGTCACTACACATCATAGGTAAAAGTATAAGTTGATAGTAGTAGGAAGACAGGTGAACTGATAATAGTGAGAATAATAAAATACAATAACAAAACTCTTATCAGTAGTTAATCGTTGGAAATAGAAGGTCAAACAATATGGGTAAATAAACTAGGAATAGTAATCACAAAACATTGGTCAGATGTCTCACGAGCAGAGCAAAAAAGATCTGTACAGTAGACACTCTAAGTCAGGAGCTTGAATTTATCAACAACTCACTGACCGAGATCGGCTACCCCAGCGCGTTCATTAAGAAGTACATGCAGGATATGATAAAGAAGTCGGAGATTTCGACTGTTCGTAAGAAACCTTTATACATGAAAGTGCAATTCAACGGGGATATGGCTAGTGACACTCTGAAATATAGGTTAACCAAAGTAATCACCAGGACATTCTACGCAGCCAATCTTGCGTTGACCTTCTCTTGTCGACCAGCGATGTATACTCAAACGAAGGATAAGTTACCTGAGTTGGCCTCTTCCATGTGCATTTACAAATTCAGCTGCTCCTGTGGAGATAGCTATATAGGGCGTACTACCAGGGAACTTAACCAACGGAGATTACAACAGGTGAGTGTGTTAGTTGATTGTGTGTATGCAATGTACGCAGTGTTGTTTGTGTGAGATGTGTTTGAGTTAGTTGTGCACAGGACTGGTGAATTGCGTGTTGTCTACTCGAGTATATCTCGTTCTCTTTTTGAATATTTTTCTGTACTTCCGCCGGCTATTTTATTATTTCCTGATGGTTTTTTAATGGTTGTATTCTGTGCCTCCATTGCCTCGCTTGTATGTTTTCTTACGTTCTGTCAGTGTTTTGTTTGTCGTGCTTGTTTTTCTTTTTCGGATATGCATTACGATCCTTAGTTTAGATCATTTTGTTTATTCTTTTCGAACCCATTTGTCCAGTTCACTTGTTTGCCTATTAACCTGATTGTTTTTATTTGTTACTATGTTTGTTATTCATTGATCCTATTCTTCATCGATCTGTATTCTATTTTCGTTGGACTTTAAATATCGATTGATGCTTGGTTCAAGCGAGTTGTCTCATTCACTTTGTCCGCTGCGCATCATTTCGTTTCGTCTCGCTCTCTCCTCTTCACTTTCTTCGCTTCGTTTCTCTGAACATCTGTCTGGATCAACGATTGTACGAAACATACATACTTAAAACTCGTTCTCGTATTTGACTTATTAAACTCGGTTATTCACTAACCCGAGTTAATTCGATGATAATATACGAGAGTTGGCGGTATGTATATTTCGATGACAATCATCACACGATATAATTGGAGTCAGATATCAGGCCACCAAAAGTGGTGAGCTCATCGATAACAACATCGTCCGATCTAGTTGTCGTCAAAATGAAGGGCCACTCAACGTGACGAGCACGACGACGAACCTAACGCAGCCAAACTACGTCGATGATGAACCCTCTACACTCCATACTTTCAATGCACGAACTCAACGTAGCTTGCTCAATCGATAAACAACACAGTTTTCGACCATATGAGCAAATCGGAGAGAGATCACAGCATCACTAAAGTGGTAGGCCCGACTTCGAACCTAACGCAACCTGACAAACTAGTCGGACGATGATCGTCTCGAACTCTACGCATCCGTTAATCAAACTAAGTAACTGAATTGGTCGAAGAGACACTCAAACTACTCAATCTCTAATCCGACACATTCGGCGAAGCCGGTACGTTGGAGACATGGATATGATCAAGTCGTATGACATTATTGATACTTTGTCCTCGTGTCACCTCTGCTCACTGAACTGTTTAGCGCATCATTCCATTATGATTATAATAATTATCATATTATCATTATCACATTAATGTCACACCACCACCTAACGTGGAATTATTATTGCTGTTCGTGCTGATATTAGATCATGACATTTAAGCAATCATATCACACTCCCCATCAAAGTGTAATTTTATGAACATTTCATTTACGTTATGACAGTCGAAACTCGTTGCATAATTCTTTTATTTTTCAATAACGTAAAATTTTGCTGCTTTATGTGAGTTTGTTCCATTTTCTCCGCGTCATTTTTGCCCTGTTATTACACTCATTCTTTGATTTTTTCAAGGACGACACTCTCATGATATTATTTTCTGTTTTTCCATTAATACGTCTTACGCACACTTCATCTAAGTTTTCGAACTGCTGTTGTCTATTGAACTGTCTGAAATCAATTCGACATCAGTGTTACATATTTACGATTTTCTTGCTGCAAGTTTAGCTACATTGTTGTCTAAGTCGGGAACGTTAATGTAGTTTGCTACCGTTGTTCTCGTCATCACTATTATTGCTTGATTGTTATTTATGTTGGAATTCAAATTCTTCAATATATCAGATTGTACCAATATCATATCGCAAATTATGCCACGACACATTTGCTGCAAGGTTTTGGTTGATGATGATTGACTGACAAGGCGATCTAATCTAGTTTATTACACCGTCATATAATAATGAAGAGACACATTAATGTGATGACAAACTGGCTGGTGAAATATGTTTAATTTAGGTCGTATACAGAAATATGTTGAATGCAAAGGCGAATCTACAGAAGCGATTAGAAAATTGGAAATCATTAGAAACAGACCTGATGTGAGCAGTAGATTATGTGAAGTGACCTGATTGAGGCATTCAGTGATTTGACCTTCTACTCACTCCAAATTGTTTACTCCTGAATTCACGTTTTCATCATTTGTGTGCTTATCTAAATTCAAGTTCCTTTCTCCAATGATTTGTGTTTGTGTTTCTGCTTGTCTATCTGCATTGCATGTAACCAAACTCCATGTGTTCTTTTAATGAAAATTTTCTTCGTTATCTACTTAAATGTTTTATAGAAGGCAACCTCACGAAAACAGTAGTAATCGGTAAGTCAAAATATGATATAGCAGTTTGTTTTGTCACACCAATTTATTTTCCTTATTGATTGTTTTGATTCTGTTTTCCATTTCATTCATCAATACGTGGTCACATTGCATTACATAAACGGTTGGGTGAATTGTTCCTCTTGGAAATTCAGTGTAGCGAAGAGATGTCACATATAGTACGCTCATATATTGAAATTATTTGTCAATCAGTATTTATTGTCGAGTTTCTCAGGGTCGTCTGGTCGCGTTGGCTACTATCTATGTTAAACCGGAATGATTCATAATCTTTCCAAGTGGAACAATTTAATTGTATTCGTATAAAAGCTAACAAGTACTGAAATTTACTGTAACTGTGGAAGTCACGTTATGTTTGTTTGCTGAGCGTCACTTCACTCACAATATTGTTACACTTATTAACCAATGTGTGTGGGTAGACATTACTACTTGGTGTAGAATTCTTTATTTTCATAACAAACCAAGAGCATATAGCATTCAGTGTGCATGGATGTGGGAAATCAAACAACCATTTACTTCATAGTGTCCATCACTTTGATAGATCATAATCGAATACACTTGGATTTGTGGTGTGGAGTTGAAGAGAGGTCGTTCAGTTTTGTTTTGTTGTGCAACAGTAAGTCAACTCAATATTCTCCTTTCACTGAGAAGTCGGATTTAAATCAACGAACTTTGACTTGTTGGAAACTATTTAATTTCTTTTGTAGCAGTCTCATCAATGCTGACTAGATTGAACAAGTCTTTGGAGTGGAATGACAGTTTATTGGATCCTAGTTCCGATTTATATCGAAATTATTCAGCTGAAATTTGTAATTTGGTAAGTTTGTTACCGAGTTCTCAATTGGATTTACATAAAAATGAGGAAAACTGATGAAATGTATAGACAACCTGTGTCTTTTGATAAAGGTTGAAGTTTGACATTTGAAGACGGTTTTTGGAAATATATGTAGCTATTTAATAGCTATTTATAGAAGACAGAGTATTATTTAACTGTTTTCTCCAACTGTGACGAATAGTACCTGTAGAAATTCAAGATGTTGTTTGGGTAGATTCCATGATCATTGTTTTATGCAATTATGGATTTAACTCGTCGTGGTTAATAGTGTCCGTTCTTCACCATTTACCATGTAGATCATATCTCGTTTTACTCTACACAAACTGATGCAGTCTCAAAACACTCTATGGTCTCCAATCACTATATTGTTGCAATCAAATAAAGGCGAATGTGCTTGTTTCGTTTGATTATGCATAGCATAATTACCAGAAGTGGTCAACATGCACGGGCACGATCCTGTGATGGATCAGTCGTTTTGATATTATAAGTAGTGACAACTGAGGTTACCCAGTCGATAAATATATTTACTAATCCACGAGTTTGGAAAACCAATTTGTTCTCCTTCCACGTGAATGTAAAACTTCGGTGCTATAAAACTCCACCAAACTACTTGTTCGACATTCATACAACAATGATTTATGCCGATGAGCTAATTTCATCTAACCTAACATGAATGGCACCATGGGGTAGCCTCACTGAGCTAAGTGGCAGTACAGCACCGTCTGCCTGGTGTTATACATTGTGATGTCGCATTAACTATCAACTGCGACTAACTCATTTATTCATTCATTACTGACTATTCCATTGAAAAGCCACCGCTCACATTTCTGTGGCTTGAGATGCTGATTGATATCATGTGCTAAGGTTACCAATCGGAATTCTAACTCTAATTTCTTTTCCATTCCGTGTTTACTATTTCCTCCATGACCCAGTGTCCAAGCAATGACCATACCACAGGCATGACCCTCACCGTCCACCTTGTGGCGATGCAAGCCAAGCTCCTATTCTTCCACTACTCGTAAGTCCTTCTTTGCCTTCAAACTTGAGTCAAAGAGAGAAGTCAACAGACGGCCTCTACCATTCTTATACTTCAGGCATACGTGGACTCATATACAGTCGTGCTGGACCACATCGCACCACTGAGCGAAAAATCACAAGCATACATAGGCAAGCCGAAAGTGTTTGTGAATAATGCAAACCGTAAGTAGTAGACTGGCAAAAATCTGGGAGTGGAGAGTTGTCTATCAGTGGTTAACGGGTTAACCAAAAGCTTGTGGTTAACGTATTATATAGACACAGTAATCCAGTTGCTTAGTAATTATATAAGAAAAACATAGTTGATAGCAATAACAATATTCATGATAACAATTCGAAAACCATTTTCAAAATTTCCAACTTTTACAATATTCATCCCGTTATAACACGCACGATTTTCTTCTCACAAAATCTTCAAGCTTTTGGACAGCATATATTCAACTTATATTGAGGGAATAATCAATGTTAATTGCACAGTTGTTGGCTTCTCGCGTGGATCAGTTGTTGGAAATGCAGTATTAGTCATCGACCATAGTAGCACAAGTGGGAATTTCTCATCGACTGAAGTGACAAAAGACACTGTTCGCAATGCTGTTGTGGCATACATAGCAGAAATGGTTGCCAATGGGTCGGAGCAAGTGTACTTTGATACATCAAGTGGCTTGACAGTAGAAAGTGAGTGCATGTGATATTTTCGAGCTATATTGAATTATTGGTGTTGGATTTCGTCCATTGTAGCTGAGACCTTTACTGGTGTGTGTGTTTGCGTGATTTGAATGAGTGTACTGGATGAGCGAAGTGGATGTGAGCACTCGATGGTGTGTGCATGTTGTTTGATGAAGTGATTGGACTGAGACGATGACTGAATGTATGTTGCTGGTGGTCGCATCTTCTTGTGACATGTCAGTCACCTCACACACTGTGTGAGTGTTGTGTGATCTGTGAGCATGTGGTGGATTGGTGTGAAAGATAATTTGACGTTTGTGAAGTCCTTCATTCTGTTTAGGAATACCCTGTTGAATACTTTTCCTGGTTTTGAGCGAAGAGTGATGCTTCTTCAGTTCTCACATTTGCTGTGTCCGCCTTTCTCTGTTATCTTGATGAGATGTCCTTCAACACTATTTGTAGAGTTGGTTTATTGTTAAGGTGTAGTAAAATCCGCAAGCGTGCAGAAAGAAAGTACACAGGGAAACAAATAAGTGGTAAAAGTCCACATTTATTGTTGAATGTTAATCGATTGCGAATAAATTATTCATTGTCTTCGTTTACAACCAATGAGAGAATAGATCAAGATTGACGACCAGACATTTTCTCATTCAAACTCACACAAAATCTTATATATTGGATTAAATGTCTAAATTACAGCGAGTAGACAAATAATAAAGTAGTTGATTAGGCTTACTACAATAGTATTTAAGTAATTTCTATATCAGTACATTAAATAAAATCCTTTACAAAAATTATATTGACTATGTTCAAATTATCATGATTTATTATTATTGTAAAATATGTATTCATATTGTTTTTCAGAGACAACTGAATTAAGCAAAACGACTTTCAGTACGAAAAGTGAGTTGTTTTTTTTCATTGTTTATACTTTAAGTATTAAGTGTATGTCAAAACTTTTAATTAGTCTTGTACTGACAGATTAATGTCGAAATTTAAAATGATGATTTCTTATTTACGTCCATATCATTTCACAATATTCATTTAATCAAGTTATATTACTAAACTAAGCAAAAACTTTATAACACTATCAGTCAAATAGAATCAGATTTTATATTCACCTCATAATATTATGATTATTTCCCACAACTTTTAACCATTTGCATACAGTTGGTCAGCAGATATTTTCATTAGTATCAATTGTGGTCATAAGTTCTACTCAGCCATTTTTCATCCAAGTGACGGGAATTCCCTGAGAGTCTATTACCAAGATTCCTTACTCTTTAAGAAGTTGAAAAGAGAATGAGAAAGGTTTTATGAAAAGAATGGTTGAGTCGAATGATCTCAAGTGGTTTATTTAGTTGATAAATTATAAAATAATAGGCTTAGATTAGATATCTGTCCAAAACTAATTGTAAATTATTCAAAACTTTTGTGGTGTTTTATAATTTATCTTATTCAATCGATGGCACATCAAGCTTCTTCTATATTATCTGACTATTTCACTCTTGTTAATAACATTTCCCCATAGGTTTACTAAAGGTGTTCATTTAGTATTACAGGATACTAAATAGATCACAGTGTTTAGTACCGGGTGATAGATTTAAAACTTTATCCAGGAATTTTACTGATATATTACCTACTTCATGAACCAACATCTTCAATGAATGTTTCTTCAAAATGTATCATCTATGTAAGAAGAGATTAAGATAATTTTAACATTCAAATTGTTGTCTAACGTAAAGGTTTAAGCTGTGATCTATGAAAATAATATTAACCTTTTTTTAAAACAAACAATTATTACAATCTATGCTTTAACTTACATTAAACAATCTTATCAACTTAAACCAGTATTAATATAAACATTTAAGTTGTTTAATTGCTACAACTGATCTTAAATTATAAATATAACATCCAGTTTTTTTTTCTAAAACTGTTAAGAATGTTTAATAAGCTTCTTAAGAATACACTCGTTTCAATGCCTGCAAACACCGATTAACCTGAAGATAAATTTTAAAATAAATTATACATCCTCAGTTTTACTGCATTAGATTTAATTATACATCTTAAAGTGTGATCAATATCATTTTAGATATACTAGAACTATCAATGACAGTGGAGGTTTTAATAGGAAATCAACAAACAAATTGGAATTCCGAACTGTCTAACAAATTTTCTGAACTTTACAACAGTACTGCTGAAAACACCTGTGCTTCGGTATGCAATCATGTCATTTTATTTTATGTTCGTCTATTTTAGAACTGAATGTTTGACTGGTCTTTTCTGAGGCCAAAAGACCATTCTTACATCCTAATAAATTACATACTTATACTCAAGATGCAAGTATGCTGTTCTCATGATTTATAAGAAAAGGCTTGTTTTGGTTTAGATAAAGTTAGGAATGCATTCGTTGAATTTTAAGGAAAATTAATACCTTATCCAGGTTCACCTGTTAACATTGTTATTAAGAGCCAAGTAGTTTACAATACGAATTCACAATCAATATAAACAGTGAAAACATAAATATAGTTTATAAAGAATGTAATAAGCCTACTTATTGAATTGGTTTAAAATCCAACATTTTTATTGAATTTGTTTCCAACATTGCTTGACAATCCTCCACTATGAAGGTCAATGTATATGAGACTAAAAATGAGTGTTGAATGGTCTACACAGTTATTTTCAAAAGCAAGGGATCATGATATTCTTTGGTACAATAACCAATTTATTTTTCTTTTCATATTCACAAACTTTTGGAAACGAATGAATTCAGTCTTTTTACTGGTATATATTTGAATTTGTTACAGAAATAAAATAAAAATATAAATTTATTACAGGGTCAAAGTAACTTTACACTAAACACATGAAACTATCACTAACAACCAAATTGTATGTTGATTTCGAAAATTTCAGGAACATAAACAGTTTACGCCCAAAATTACCATTATATTATATATATATATATATATATATAACAGGGGTTTCACATAACGTAAGCGGTTACGAATATATTTTAGTTGCTAACGATGACAGTGGAGCTAAATTAACAACATAATGTTAAGCGAGCCGAAAATGTCTACGTAATCAATAAATTCTCTTCAGTGACTAACTTATTGTATTTTATTTGTAATAATTTTCATGCATTAATGATGGATATATTTATGCAAAATCAATAGATGACAAATTCAATAAGAACCAGGTTCATCTTAATAGCATTCTCCTTCTTTTTCTTCTTCACCTCACGAGTACACGGATCTGGAGACCACAATCTCTCTAGCAGATTCAGTTGGCAAATATCATTTCAGTAACTATTGATTTTACAACTAAACATTGTGATCGACACATAATATCTTGATCGTACTTTTAATTCTCGACTTACCAAAATGGTATTCACTATCAGATTGTCTAAAACATACATATTTCAAATACTTTTATATTCAAATTTTTATGTGTAATCTGTTATTAACATGATTTGTCGACAGAATGTATATGAAGCAAAATAGGATACATAGATTTTATTAGCATTATTATTATATTAAGCAACAGACATTAAATATTTACTGTATCCTTCTACTTGTAAATTCGTCTTTGACGTACATTCATTAAGAAGAATTTATTTCAACTCAACATATCACATGAATCTCCATAAATTTGATTTATTATGCTTTCACCTAATATTTCTTTGCAGATAAAAGCCAGCCCTCGATATATTACATCAATACAATACACCGTACGTACTTGTACTGTTCTTCGTTTTTATCCGGGTTCTGTGAAATCTGATGTACAGATAATTGTAGAATACATAAATGACCTCAATGTGACTCAAACACAAATTCTGCAAGCAATTCAGTTGGTTCGCAATTATATGTAATAGATCTGTTAAAAAATCAGTCAATCGATTCCAATCGTATAATATCACTTAAGTGTATGTTTATATCGTTAAAAATTCATTATGTATAGAAAATACTAATATATATATATATATATATCCACCGTATCCACCAACTCCGTTAAAGCACCGGACATTCGTTTTTTGTCCTCTAAACACCCCCGCTACGAGATACATCTGTTTTCAACATTATTTTTCTTCCCTTGATGAAATTAATGTATGTAGCATAATATGTATTAGTTTTGTGCTTCATCACTTCCAGTTGGAAATGTAGCAATTCTGAAGAAAGCACATACAGATATTAGTGTTTTACGTAAGATTATTATCGTTTCTCCCAAAAGTTTATGTATTCAAGCAAATAAAACGAAAAGTCATCATTTCCCTTAAATATCAATTATGCAACTCATTAGTATTTTGTTTATTTCAAACTCCAAGAATTTAAATTTATTCCTGTAATGTGTTATAGTTGGGGATTTTTGAAAAGTCTTGTAGCAAGATGAAATAATTGTCAAATGCTGTGTGATTTTAATTGCTTGTATATCCATCGAAGTGATCAAGAATAGATCTAATAATAATACTACTACGACTTGAAGAAATATTACTTTTATCCTTATGAACACTGTTTAAAAGTATTACATTTTATAAGAAAACTTTTAAATGTATTTATATTTTATTTATTTATTAAAACACATAAACATTGGTACTAGGAGACACCAAACACATATGCGCCACATAAATCATTCGATTTTTGTGAGGGCTGAACTGTTGCCCAGGTGCCCAAACAGAAGCAGGTGGTTTTCTTAGGGGGCCACAACCCGAGCCTTCGACCTGAAGGTCTAATCCACAAGGCAGTGAAGCAACGTAAGGGGATGCAATCTCATGGTAGCTGGTGACCAATAACTGATCCATACGCCTTTTTTCTTAGGATCCTGGTGCCCATGTACACTATTGGTTTGGAATCAGGGTTTTCCAACTCCCCTAGATAGATCCTCCATATCCACCAACTCGGTTAAAGCGCCGGACATTCGCTTTTCGTCTCCGCCACGAGAAGGCAGTGAGTAGGACTCCCCTGGCAGTGGTTGTATGCACGTAGCAACTTGAGAGCATTTCGAGAGGGAGAGCTATCCCCACTGTCGGCCGTACTAGGGCATTTGGGGGACCAGGAACTAATTAGGGAAGAATAATGTCTACGTATTTTTTAAAAAAAACTAACATCTTCAGTTATAAGTGTGAAGACTCAACTTAGATATATAAATAGATCATTCGGTATAAACCTTGTAGTTTATTGTTCTCTTCTATACATATAAAAGGACTATTAAAATGCTAATAATTAACTACTAGAGAATTCATATACGTGAAAATTGGAAATTTGTCAATTTCCATCCTATGTTCATTTTCATGAACACTAACTATCATAGCATTAAATATTGTAATATAATATGGGACTACTAGGCAATGCTCATCCATGATCTCTCATGCGAGGTTCGATTGATTGAAGCTAGACAGTAACACCGTTGGATGATGGCTTGGTGATATAGAGATTAAGCGTTCACACGCGAGACCGAAAGTCCTGCGTTCTAATCCCGCGTGCGGAGTCGTGGATGCGCACTGCTAAGAAGTCCCATACTATGATGATGTGGCCATTCAGTGCTTCCATATTTTCAGTGGTGCTCCAATATACTTAGTTATTTCTCAGTCGTACGATATGTGCACCCCTAATGCAATTGTGTCTTTTTCAATCCCGTTAATTATTTTGATATGACTAATTGGCGCGACTATAATTTTGGGATGAACAAATCGGAATCAGGATATCAGTTTTTGGATTTTGGTGCGAAATTTATTCATCCATTTAGCTAAATAGTGTCTTATCAGTTCATGATGGAAACCTTGAACATAATTTCTAACCGTAACCATCAACTTTACATCAAAATTCTAATTCCTCACACTGATTTATAACCATCATTTGGTTCTAGTTAGTAGGTGGACATTCTGAAGGTCACTTTAGTGTCTCGCAAAGGTCGTTCATAAATTATAGTCTCACCGATTGATTACTAACATTTATTCATGTATATTTTTGTAATATGTCTGGAGTACTTACCTATTTGTTGTACTATGTATGATCATTAAAACTGAGTCGGCAACTCAAGTCAATACACACAGCAGCACGAATGATCAATACACCAATTCACATAACACACGCTACCTGCAAAGTTTGTACAATATACGTGTGCATGAAATATATAATTCTTATATATTGTGTAACTTGTTAACCATCTTTATTAACTAATATCAATCCACTGTTCTTCATTATTCTGTTTAGTAATTATGCAAAAAGAAACTTGTAGTACGATCGCATCAAAATGTTCACCACATGCTCAATGCATCGAGAGGTCTGACGGTGCCGTTTGTGTATGTAACCCAATGTGGATAGATTTAAACATGCAACAGCCCGGAGAACAGTGTATAAGTACGTTTAGTCACGTAATGCATAACCTTACCTCTTCCTCCAAAAAAACTATGGTGACAATTAGCATCACTTAAAATTCATAATTGCGAAGTAAAATATCTGAATATAACACTGCTTACGCTAAATGATTTATAAGTAGTCAATGACAGTACGTGTTTTAGTCTTGAGTATTAAAAAAATTACATCAATCAAGTTTCCTTGTACTTGATTTTAATTACCTAATATGAGATACAGTAAATCGAAAAGTTAAAATGTTTATTCTTGTAGCAACATAGTAAATTGTCCATCCGAATCCGGCCGACAATTATGACTCATTAATCACACAGCAGTAAACAATCGATGACCAAGCAATGTAAACATACTGACTTTGCAAAAGGTCGATCACGATACGAATAGGTTTTTTCTAAAGTATGTGACTGGAGTAACATGTGTAAAGGTGTCACGGACATTTAGGGTTTGTCAATGCTTCTATCTGCAACGATCTTATCATCAAGAATCCCAAACCCAGTCGAACCAGAGGTCAGGAATGAAGAAGTTCCAAGATATATTTGCAAGTTAGTATATATATAAAACTAACCATCTACAATCTAAAGACTCTTCTCAACTTTTGTTGAAGTTCATTTCAAAATCAGTATTTTCTTTAACTAATGTCACACTAAGTATACATGTCCTCTCGAAATTCTGTTGGCTGGGTATCACGTGTATTCTAAATTGATAAAGAAGTTACCAACATGAAAAACTGTTATATAAGTACATTTGTTTCGGGTATCACTTCACTTTTCATTTCTTACTAGCTGGATTTTTCGGTAATATTGATATACTGAATTCAGATAACTATATTTCTAATCCATGGTTGGCTAGAGGAATGTTTCTGTATATTTATAAGTAGTGAACAAAATTACCGTTATATACGAAACAGGTTATTGATCTACAAAACCTGAATTTAAATTACAACTCACCCCAAACATCTATTTAATGAAGTACTAGATGTTCGTTTAACTGTATCCTAAATTTATAATAATCACCGATAATATCGATAATCCCCGTAAAAAATTACTCAGTAAAGTCTCACAACTAAATTCAAGATAATTTATGAATTATTTACCAAATAATTCATTTTTATTGGTTGTTTGAATCTTCCCAATGACGTTTAGGACTGTAATGATCAGCAGGTATATCCAGCTGAGTCCCAAATATAACGAGAAATGCATCCTGGTTCCCACTGATAACCACCATTCAACTCTACTTATAATAGTTAGCAAATATCTTAACACTTATCAGCTCATTAGAACTGCATTGAGTAGAAACAAAACATAACTTAAAAAATCCCTTTGTGCAATATTTGTAACAAAAATAATAGTAAATCCCTGATAAACCTATTTTTAGAAGGAATCTAATAATCTAGAAACATTGTTGGCATATTTACTAGTTGATTTATTCAACATCATTGTGTTATTTCAATAATTCTTTTTTTCTTTTCAGTAAGTCCAACTGTAATAGCGCTAATTGTTATTGGAACAATCCTAATCATAATAATATTTGCCGCAGGAATATACTTTGCTCTTCGTACAGGCAGAAATGGTCAACGTTTTATACATTCATTTGCTTAGCAAATAAATATAATTTAATAATACTCATTATACATAGATCCGAAAAGAAAATATAATCAGTATGTACATTGAATAATCATAATAATTATAACTTATATTTCGATATTATTTGTATTATTTGATTGAAAAAGGAAATGTATTTACTATAAATTTTCAGGTTGAAAGAATTTTCTGTAAAATTTTATTGCATAAATTTCTTTTCTTTATATCTACAATCTATCAATGTATTTAATTAAATGTGATATAAACAATTCCATTTTTTGTCGGCTTTGTTTATAAATTTTTATGCCGATTTCCCTATATATTATAATTTCTTACGATGTTCAGATTCTAATTTGCAGAATCATATTTTGGCATCTGATATGTTACACAATAGTGAAAAACATACTCTTAAATTTATTTCAATTCTGTATGTAGAAATCTTTGTATTTGTAAAAAAAAAGTATATACCCTTTTATTATCATTTTTCATAGTTTTACTTATACAATAAAAATTTTCCACTGTTTTTAAAACGAGATTTCATGAGGTTTAATATATGTTATATCTGTCAGTAATAGTATTGAATAAAACAATTCCAATGAGTCAATATCCTATCATGTTCATTTGTGTATTTGATATAAAATAGTAGGAATGATTAACTGAATAAACTTTCAAACACAATGTTTTTACTATAAACATATCAAGATTTCATTTATGTACCTTTGAACAATAAGTATCGTTGATATATATTCACGAGCTCAGTGAGTCTTTGATGACGTCTGTACTGAAGACTCAGTTTCAGTTTTCTTGTTTTATATGTAAACCTAAATAATCTATTATTTTCTTACAATCTATTGAGAAGATTCTTTTTACGATTTCAGTTAATAAATCGGGTGGCATTTAAAATGTTTGTTTCGCATAAAACGGTGTCTGAATGACAGGAAATTATTAACAAGATTCCATCCACAACATAAAAGTCCCTGTTTTTAAAAAGATAGTGTGAACTAAATGGTTATAACAAAATCATGGGTTGCTTTCTAGTGAAAATTCGAATAGTTTTGAAAGTTTTTTTTCAATAAAATAAAAAGAAATAAACAGCTATTTATTTTTAATTTTTAGGACATGATTTTTAAAAACTGAGTAACGTAAATCTGAAATTCTCTTACGTTTCCATTTGAACAACACATGTACGTTATAGTCTGCTATAAGAATTAGTTCATTCCTTAAACCATAGTTTGTCGATGATAAATCAAGTACCTAGCTAATTTCCATTACACAAGTGAAGACACTATATTCAGAGAAGTATCACATTTCGACGAATCTACTATTATGCATGTATATAATTTTCTAACTTAATTTCGTGAGATACAACCACTTAATGTAGATGATTACGTCATGAAAACAATCTAATATTGTAGCTTAAATCACCAACCAATGTTAGCTAGACTACCATTGAAAGCCAGGAAGCGTAAGACAATTCCTTCATCCTAGAACCCAGGTGGTCTCGCGCGCGAAAGTCTAATTCTTAGTCCACAACTGCAGCATTTGATGGTGAACATTCCTAACTTCAATCACTTCGCAGTACTGCAAGATTATCTTTGGTAGCACGGTGTGACTAGGAGACTTCAGCCAAGTTGCGTGTGGGACGGTTGTCTACCCCAGACTATGGAAATTGGTATTACAATATCGCGAATTGATGAAAGCTAGGCATGTACAGCACTATATTCTGTCTGTGGTCAAAGATTAAGCGTTTGCATACGAGACCGAATATCCCGGGTTTTATCCTTTGCAGAGGGGTTGAGGATGTGCATTAGGTAGTCTCATACTAAGATGAAATAGATGTCTAGTGCTTCTTGTTTTCAATGGTGGCTTAGATGTTGGGGATGCTAGATAACCAAATCACTTGGTAAACGTCTCATTTTTGTAATTTTATTTTGGAAATTTAAATGATACCAAAAACAACTGAGTTATGGGAATGTAAAAAACGAAATAATGGAAAGACCACAATTTCAAATACGAAATATATGAAATGAAAATAAAACAATGATAATAGTTCAATACCACGATAAATATTGACATAAAACATACTTATTTTGTATCTAGTATTCAAGCTTCTTTTCATGGAAAGCTGAAACTTTTGATCTTTTAAAGAGTTGAAGACGAGGAAATCTTATTAAGCTTGTACAGACTCGATGACCAACCTTGAACTCAACATGTGGGTTAGCCTAAATGATCAATCGACTGAATGTTCAAAGAAAAGTAACTTTAAATATTATATAGTGATTAGTACTATTTTAGATGGTATGTAGCTGAAGAGAATCTATGAAATCATTGGATCCACATCATTCTTCTACGATCACTGTTCTTTCTTTATTCAAAGTCATAGATGGGACAAACTGTGTCAAATAAGTGATCTAAATAACTGTTCCTAAAATTTACTATTGTTAAACAGGTTTAAATGTCATTTTTCGAAGCCTTTTCCGTTTTCAAACTTACATGCTTCATGAAATATGTGAATTTTAACTTATTGAATTCTTTTGAACAGATTTACTTAATTAAAAATGAAAACAATTGAAGTTTAACATAAAATGTGTTTGTTCTTCAAAGTAATTTGAAGGTCATTAATACCACATGGTATTACTTTTCTACTATTCATGCGAAAAATGGATACATTAACATATGATTCAATAAATTAAATTGGTTAGATGAAAGTTTTTGATAAATCAATCAAGTGTGTACAATCGTGTTGAGGAAATGAAAATAGAATTTTCGAAATAGTCAATACAAATAATAATATGAGAAATTGAAGAAACTAATTTCACAATAAAAGTTGGACTCAAGAAAGAAACATAGAAACAAATGACTAAGATCCAATAGAAAGTCAGTTTTCATCACAGATTGATATCAAAAGTAGAAGACCCTTACAGTCACACTTACATAAGGTTGAGCTCAGGATAATTAGATCTCATCACAAGTAAGTCAAATTCAAGTTCCGAACGAAGACACCATTTTATACTCTTACTTTTTACACCCGTTTAAATAATTAAAATTAATCTTTAAGCTGAACAATCCACTACTAAACTAAATAATAACACTGAGTAAACAAGAGATTCAAACTGAACGTATTAAGCATCAATCAAAAGGGACTAATACTAATATATTCATATGATGTCCGTGAGAGGCAACTTATAATAGTTCATATATGCCATTATACTACAGACTATCAATCTTATGACTTAAACTCAGTCTTCAAAGATAGTTTTTGTCAACCAACACAAAACTAATTTATATTGACAGAAGACAGAGAAATATTTGTTAGTCGTTTCGTTCTACGTAGTTGATTTAAACCACACGTATCATGTGATATGTAATGCAACTTTCACCAATGATTCTTTAGACAGATTTTTCTTAGGAAATTATCACGTCATCTAAGCATCTATCATAAGATGAATATGTTGTATAAATTAGTATAAATCTTCATTTCTAGTTTTAAGATCTCTCTCATTTAATCAGTGACTGGAAAAATAATCCCACATATTTGATCAAATTTACGACGCACACTGTGAGATTTGAAAAACTGACAGTGGCGAAATCCTAATACGAGAACCGGATATTTAAGAGGTAGTTAACAATGGCGATAGTGTTATATGATTAGAAATCAAAGTATGATTCCGTTTGGTACTTATGTTAATTTAAATGAATGACTTCATTTATTTATTGATAATGAATCTAACACGTGATGTCAATTTTTACTTCGTTTGGTTAATATTAGAGTCGGTAATTTACGGAAAAGAATTTTTCAGATTTAACCAGAGGAAATAAGTGACTCAACTTTACTTGCTTAGAATTCAAAACTGGACAACTAAATATCCACATATAGGTAGAGAGTTTAATTATACAGATCAAATGTCATAAATATAAGGATCACGAAGTTATGAAAAGTATTAGTTAACTTTTATACTTTTCTCAAGGCTTTAGTAAAAGGTTGGTGGTTACCATATAATTTCTTCGTCCAGTGGAAAACTTTAATTAGGTATTTCAAACACCTGTAATCATAAAAAATCAGATGAAATGTCTTATTGAAGATGGGAGAAAAGTGTGTAGTAATATGAAGTTACTGTACAGTGTGTTACAATGAAACTAATAGACAAGTTAAACATTCTCTGTTGCATTACGTTTATGGCCAATAACGGTGAAAGATGTTTCTTCTTTGGAATCAGTACCATTATCATCAACTTCAGGAAATGTATCTGACGGTCGACCAGTACGTGAGATTAAACGTAAAACAATACCTGAGATTTGATATCTATGATTTTTTGGTGACTGAATGCCAATCAGCTCCCAAGATGTAGAGGTATTTGTGTACGTAGACCTACAGATGGGGCACTGCGTGCGATTAATATCTGAAGGTCTGCAGCTGCTGGATCCTTGACCAGAAACAGACGATTCTGAACGTGCTGACGGCAACTGGTAACTAATTCCGGCCCTAAATAAAAATAATGTTAAAGTACAGGTGAATAAGCTTGAACATAAAAATATATTTAGATATTACACATAAGTGAATGAATTATTTATAAGACTTACTGAAGCCGAATATGAGGCACACTTAAGATAACTATAGTTTTATTGACCTTCACTGTGTAGGTATTTCGACATCTTAATACATAGAACATTCTGTAACCAGTAGATGGTATATAACTATCCAATACTTATGGAAGGGAACTATGCATAATCGGAAATCCGAAAATTTCGGGAATGCATTCCAGCACGCACCAAAAACGGCTTCAGTGGATAAAAGAGTGGATAAAAGGAGAGATGAATTCATCACATTGTTACAACTGGGACAGTAAAAACAAGATGTAAACTAGCTTATCAAGTAGCAAGTATATCAAGAAGCATTCTACTCTGTATTTCAGTACGCATGTGAAGCAATGAATGTAACCAAGACATGTGCGTATTCATCACTCACCGTTTAAAAGAAAAAAACAGATCACTCTAAAATATCTTTTCACATGTACTTCAGCTTGATTGACGACAGCTAGAGCAGCAGTAATACTTATGAAAGGAAACAGT